GCCACCGGCCCGGCTCCCGCCGCTCCTGTGGCAGCGGTGTCGGCAGGGGCAGCCCCGCCCCCGCCCGCCATAGGCATCTCTCCCCCTGCTGCCGGACGGCCAGTGGCAGCGGAGTCAGCGCCCGCGGGAGGGCCAACGGCCGAGGGGGAGTGCTCCCGCTTCTGCCGCAGCTGCTCCTCGGCCACGCTGCTCTCGCTCACAAGTGCTTGTAACATGTCCAGGACTCGCAGGACCCTGAACTGCAGCTGGGCTCGGGAAGCGAGGAAATCGCCCCCGGGGCTGAGCTGCATCAGATCCCGGCCCAGCACAACTGAGATGTCGTAGACATCGTCGGCTGTCAGCTGGAACGGGCTCTTCTCCAGAGCCCTCTCCGGGCTACCATCTATATCCTCCATTCCCGAGGATTTAGAAAAGCCAGAAAAAACTGCAGTTAAAACTTCCCGCATGGGATTTAAAACCCGTGGTACTCAAGATTACCTGTATGACTTCAGGCCAGGGTAGACTATTTTAAGGTGGAGAGGCGTCCTCCCCCCCCCTTTCCGGTTGTACCAAGCGAACAAAACCCCCTGAGCTACTGCAGTGGTAGATTCCACTGCCCCTGCCCTGCCTTTACCGAAGCCATGCCGGGGGCTACCCCCGCCCCCCTTTAGTGTCCCGGGGAAGTCGAATTGCCCATCCAGGTGAAGCACTTTTTGCCCACAGGCTGGGAAAACACCAACTCTTGCAACAATATGGGCCCTAGTCTAAGTTTCCCTTCCCAGTCCACCGTATTCCCAATTTTCGGGGAAAACCCCACTTTATAATTCTAGCAAAATTACCCAGAGGATCTGCTCTCTTTATCTCACCCTTGATTGTTAGACGCTGGGGCTTCTTAAAATCACTGAGGGAATTCTCCACAATATGCTGGCAGTAGAAGAATTTCCTGCAGGATGAAATTTCCTGATCCAGAGTCCCGGGTGTTCCAGGGTGCTGGATTTCAATTTCCATCTTTCGAGCACCAAATATAAGCTGCAGGATTGTATTATAATTAATACTCCCCTGAAGGGGCCATTTTTCACCATGATCTAAAGTATACAGGGGCCACCAGTTTTGGCAATATTTTAAAAAGTTCTTTTTTCTCAGGTTTTCCCCGGGAGTTCCTCCCAGATCTTTCCAGTGGCTCAATATGCACCCCACGGGAGTCTTGGAATTTATCTCCTTACTTACTTTGACTCCCATTGTGAAAATAGGCGATTAAATCTAAAATATCTTAACAACCGCAACTCCAAACAATATTCACCCCTCAGACCTAAGTACTGCTTTTGACAAAAACTTCCTAAAATCATTAGTTTTATAACCAACTTGCACTAATACAAAAATCCACAAGATGTCACTCTTAGACTACAAATATGCCTGGCTTCTAAAATAAACCTGTATATCTACAAAAATCCACAAGATGCCGCTGTTGACCACCAAATGCACACTCTATAACAAATCTGAATACTTTCAGACACGAAAATCCAAAACACATTTTATAACCCTGAACGTTTAGAAAGCAACACTGGCCTATGAGTTCTGCAACAGTAATATCGGGCACACCTAGTTTCCTCCAAAGTTTGATTAGCTCCACATCAAATACAATATAAATTTAAAGTCCAACCTAATCTTATTTCCTGGGTAGATCAGGGTCCAAGAATGTATTTCAAACAATTATTACATAAAGCACCCACATACAACGAACAATTGCAAAATGGACAGATCTTAATTCTAGGTTTCAAGTTATGTGGTGTATTCACAGTCAATTTTTCAGACCCCCTCCCCATACAAATTTAACAAGATGTTTCTATGGTTGGTTTAGGATGGACAAACGCTTCAGGAGCTCGATGTTGCTTCCAACACAGAGCAAGAAAACACAAAATTAGCAAAGCAACATAAAACACACAAAGTACTATAACAACTGCTATTTTCCAAGAATGCATAATAGGTGCCTTAAAGCATAGACAAAAGAACAACCAAAAGGAAACTTAGGTGCCTTGTTTTCCCCGAAATAAACACTATTTGGCCAAATACAGACAAAACTAGAACATACCAGGCCAGAGGGGATATTCCCCTGGAAGAGCATCCTCTCCCGTACCCCATGAGAGATGGTATCCCGCCTTCAGCTTATGGGAATCCAGAACCAGAATCGACAAAACCAGAAACCAGTTATAAATACCTTTTATCAATAGGCAGTGTTCTTGTCCAGCTCCTGCAAGAAGCCACTGAAGAAGGGAGCCCCTTCAGGTACAAAGACTTACTCGAGGGCGCCCAAGGGGGTCCTGTCATCCGAGGGAATCCACAGCCAGGTGGAGAAAGTGTGCTGCCGCAAGTCGCCAAATGAATCCGAAAAATCCAGTATAAAGAACTGCTCAGAGCCTTTTGGATCTTTGAGCAGCAAAGGTATTTATTGACAGCGTCGGGAGCAAGTGTGGTTTGCACCACAAAGAACTCACTCAAAGGCTTCACACAAAATCAGTAGTTTTTATACAATTTTCATATATGATTAAATGCATATTCATATGATTACAACATCTATCTATACATATTGATAACAGGTGGAGTATAGGTGGAGCTCAGGCGGGGCTTGGGGTGGTGCTTCTCTTGGCCCTCAATTTTGGTGGTACATCCGCTCTTCCTCCGGTGGGTCTGGGGGCTTAATCTCATCTTCCTCAGCTTGACCTTCCTTCTTTTCTATTGTTCTCAACCCACTCAATGAAGCTTGGAAAAAGCCTTGGCTCCAGGCCTGTTTCTTCTATTCAAATGTCTACTTTATCTTACTGCATTCTAATTTATTACCTCTAGGCCTATTCTATGTTTCTTTTACCATTCTTTTAAGTTTTGGTCCAGTAGGTAGAACAGAACGAGCACAGATCGTTTAGATGTTGGTAGCTCCTTAGCAGGCCCAGATTTCTCAGTTAACTCTTTTGGGCCTGGCTTCTTGTTTCACCCTTTTGCTGCCTGGTTGGCAAAATTATTCCCCAATTTGGGAGTTGTTTTCCCCTTGTGATGAGCTCTGCAATGCATGATAGACATCTCCACAGGTGTCCAAATACTCTGCAGGAGTACATGGATTTGGTCAGCATGTTTGATCCCATTGTCTTGGGCAGTTAGTAGCCCTCCGTCCTTATACAATTCCCAATCTGGGTTTTCCAGAGGCAAGTCTTTTAAGTCTGGTCTGCTGGAATAGGCCTGTTCGATGGTCTGCAAACAGTCATGCTCGGGCACACTGTCAGTCAATGTTGAGGACAGAAACATAGCAGGATTAACAATAGATGTTTTCAGGGTAACATCATCTTGTTCCAATAACACAGCTTGATATTTAAGCATTCTGCTAGGAGACAACTAGCGGTCCCCCTTTTGTTCAAGCACAGCTTGGACTTCATTAAGTATGCCCAATTCTACATCACTGCATTTGAGGGCATTACATAGACCCCAGGGGAAAATGAAGTGGGGTTGGTAGGCTTTGACTGTCTGGCAGGTTTCCTACATTGACCCCCTGCCCCTATCAAGGGGATGGTGATATATATTCACTGCTGTGGATAGTGTCAGGATTACTCTTTGCTAAAGCCTTTGTTAATATCAGATTCTCAAGTTCTTCTGTTTCAGGTGTCTTTGACAAATGCAGGTGTTCTGGAGCTTCCCCCTGTTCCAGTGCAGTCTGGATCAGTCCATTGCAGATGGTCGGGCTGTGTTTCCACCCCTGGGGCAGTCGATTCTAGGTATACTGGACACCCCTCCAGGTGACAGCAAACTGTGGCCTGCACTCTGTTGCCAGAGGGATGGAGAAAAACGCATTGGCAATATCAACTGTGGCACCACTCAGATGCTTTTGACTCCAGCTCATATTGAAGTTCCAACATGTCTGGCACAGCAGCACTCAGAGGCAGTGTGACTTCATTCAGGCCACGATAGTCCACTGTCAGCCTCCACTCCCCATTAGACTTCCGCACTGGCCATATGGGGCTGTTAAAAGGTGAGCAGATCCTGCTGATCACTTCTTGCTTCTCCAGTTGACGAATTAGCTCATGAATGGGAATTATGGAGTCTCGGTTGGTGCAATATTGCCGTTGGTACACTGTTCTGGTTGCAACTGGCACTTGTTGGTCTTTGACTTGCAGCAATCCCACAATGAAGAGATCTTCTGAGAGGCCAGGCAGGGTAGATAATTGTTTGATCTCTGTAGCCACGGTAGTTACACCAAAAGCCCATTTATACCCCTTTGGATCCCTGAAATATCCCCTCCTGAGGTAATCAGTGTCAAGTATACAAGGGGCCTCTGAACCAGTCACAATGGGGTGCTTTTCCCACTCGTCCCCTGTTAAACTCACTTCAGCCTCTAATACCAATAACTCCTGGCATCCCCCTGTCACTCCAGAGATCCAGATGGGTTCTGCACTTCTGTGCCTCGATGGCATTAGTGTACACTGTGCACCCGTATCTACCAAAGCTCTATACCTCTGTGGATCCGATGTGGATCCTTGGCTGGATGTCAGGTGCCCACCTAGCTGCTCTATCACTCTCCTTCCCAGCGGGACAGGGGAGAGAGTAAGATGGAAAACAACTCGTGGGTTGGGATAAGGCAGTTTATTAAGGCAAAAGCAAAGCAAAAGCTTGCACGTGCAAAAGCCAAGTGAAAAATAACAAGGTTTATTCTCTATTTCCCATCAGCAGCAATGGTCGACCACTTCCGAGAAGCAGGGCTTCAGCACGCATAATGGTTTCTTGACAGGCAGCCATTGGAGACAATGAATGCCCCCCTTCCTGCTCCTTGCCTGAGCTTTTATATCTGAGCTGATATCATATGGTATGGAATATCCCTTTGGTTAGTTTGGGTCAGCTGGCCTACTTATGTCCCCTCCCAGAAGGAATGTGTTAAGCTTATGTCAGCTTATGTGTTAAGCTTATGTTACAGTACTGATGCTGTGCTCAGCAGTAGCCAAAACACTGGTGTGTTATCAACACCCTTCTAGCTACCAATGCAAAGCACAGCACTGTGAGGGCTGCTATGGGGAAATGAACTCCATCTCAGCCAGATCCAATACAGTTCTTTTCAAGGAAAAAGATTTTAACGAGTACATCTTGTTTGGGACATGTACCTAGAAGGACATAATAGGATATCATTGTAGTCAAAGCAAGCTAGAAGGCCCAGAAACCTTGGAGAAGCTCCAAAGAAGGCATGTAGTGCTGAAGATGATGATGATGAAGAAGCAAGGGGAGGCGTGCCAAGGGGCAGACCTGAGGGAGGTTCTGGGGGCAGACAATTCTAGGGTTGGATGTATCCATTAGATATGGTAACTAATTAGTGTAATTAAATTGTAGGAGCCCTATGCTGTATCCTGCACTTTTGTATTTAGTGTACCTAAAGCGCTTTAATTAAAGACCTGCTGTTACACTCCTGATTAAGCTATAAACTGTCCAGAGCAGTTACATTTTTATTTAAGAGTTTTTAAAAGCCTTTTGATTCGTTATAACCTCTAATTACCATCTGGAGAAAGAGTCACACACTCTTCTCTGAGAGAAATTCTTTTTAATTTAGTGAGAAAAATAAGATATTTTGGCAAAAGGTTTTTACAGGAGTGTTACAACCAAGAAGAAAGCATTTCACGTTACCCCATTCACTATTACCCTCTGTGCTTGACCCATGAAACAATTGCTCACCCACCACATGGTGTGTTTATCCATCTGTGTGCTGGACATTTTGTCCAGAAGGATCCTGTGAGAGACAGTATCAAAAACTTTACTGAAATCCAAAAAGATTACCTTCCCTTGATCAACTTGGTGGGTTAACTTGTTGTCATAGGTTTGAAAAGAGATGTTGGAATTTTTTCCCAATGTCTGACACCCCCCCCCCCCGCCATCTGTTTCTTCCGGGATGGGGGGGGAACTGAGCAAAGCCGCACGTGATGGGCAGTGCGGGAGCGGGGGGAGGGCGAGCTCTCTCGGGAAACGCGGTTGCCGCGGGGACGGATGGGGAGTTTTTGTTCGGGGTTTTTTTTGGGTTTGGGTCCATAGACCGGACAGAGCGGGGAGCCCAGTTTCGACCGCCTCCTTTTCTTTTCCTGAGAGGAAGGTTTTTTTCCCCACGGGACACCTCGCGGAGGTCAACTGAGAGAGAGAGAGCGCGACCCATCTCAGAGCGAGGTATTCTGCTATCAGGACTGCCTATGGGAAAAAGGACTCCATCGCTGACTGTGAAGCCATCGGCTGCTGACTGCTGCGGGCGCATGTGGCTGCGAGCAGCTGTTGAACTGCCGGGACAGTCCTGCTTTCCCCTCTCCTTTACCCGCCCCCCTCCACCCCGGGTTGCCGCCCTGGTTTCTTCGCCTCCCCCTGGGGAACTGGGACTTTGTTTTGTTTCTTCTGAAAGTTTTTGATTGCACCATTTGTTGTTTATTCAGATTTTGTTAATAAAAAGCTGTTTTGTTAATAAAAGCTGTTTTTTTCCTTTTCCACACTTCCACCTGAAGTTTCTTAATTTCTAAGTTGTGATCTTGTTAAACTAAGACACTTGTCATAAAAGGAAATCAGGTTTGATAAGCAGGACTCTCCTCTCATGAAGCTGTGCTGGCTGTGACCAATGACTATGTTGTCTTTCAGGTGTTTTTCAATACCTCCCAGAATAATCTTCCCCATAACTTTACCAGGCACTGAATTGAGACTGACAGGCCTGTAGTTTCCAGGGTCCTCCTTCTTGCCCTTCTTGAAAATCGGGACAATGTTTGCCAGCTTCCAGTCAGCTGGGACCTCATCCATGCTGAAGACAGAAGCAAAGAAGGCGTTAAACATCTCTGCCTTGTCTCTGTCCCTGTTTGTGAGGTGCCCATCCTCACCCTGTAATGGGCCAATGACATTTCTATACTGCCTATTGCTATTAATGTATTTTAAAAAACTCTTTTTATTGTCCCCCCCCCGTTTCTGGCCAGCTTCAACTCCAGTTGAACTTTGGCCACACAAATTTTCTCCCTACAGCGCCAAGCAGCATCTCTGAATTCTTCCCACATCACTTGACCTTGGTTCCACTGGGCATACACCTTCTTTGTTTGCTGTATTTCCAAGAGGTGATCCCTGTTCAGCCAAGCCATCCTTGTGCCTTTCCTGCTTGACTTCTGACTTTTGGGAATTGCCTGCTCCTGTGCCCTTAGGAGGTGATATTTGAAAAGTGACTAGCACTGATAGACCCCAGCACCTGCAAAAACATTTTCCCAGCAGACCTTACTTACTAATTCCCTGAGCAGCTTGAAGTCTGCTCTCCTCACGTCCAGAGTTGAGGTTTTGCTGGCACTTTTCCTCCTCTCAACAGAGATTTTAAACTCAATCACTTTGTGGTCTCTGTGGCCAAGACAGCCGCCAATCTCCACTTCACTCACAAGATCCACTCTGTTGACAAGCAGCAGATCAAGGAGGGCATCTTTCCAAGTCGTCTCCCTTAGGACCTGTTCCATAAAGTTGTCTTTCAGGTTTTTTCGGAATCTTCTGGCTTGGGTTGTATAAGATGTGTGATGCTCCCAGTTTATTTCTGGCAAGTTGAAGTCCCCCATAAGGACAAGGGCAGTTGACTTGGAAGTGTCCCTTAGTTCCTCAAAGAATAATTCTATAGTAGACTCCCACGATGACATCCTCATTATTTGTTTGCCCCTTGATTCTTACCCAGAGGCTCTCAAATGTGCCATTGCCAACTGTCAGCTCCATATATTCTAACCTTTCCATTACATACACTGCCGCCCCTCTGCCTCCTCTGCCCTGCCTATCCCTCCTGAAGAGCCTGTAACCGTCCAACAGGGCACTCCAGTCACAGGATTCATCCCACCAGGTTTCACTTGTGTGAATTATGTCAAATTTCTGGGACTGGGCCAAAGGTTCGAACTCCTCTTGTTTGTTCCTCTCAAGCTACCGGGCCTGGAGTAATTTTAGCTGAAGGAGCTGGGGCAATGGCATATGTATTACTGGAAGGGGATGACACTCCTATTTTTCTCCCTTATTATAGGTTTTCTCGTCGTGCCTTGTAGACTTGCATGACATGCACACACACTCTGGATGCATCTTTGCAGAATTACTGTGTAAATACCTGTGTGTGGCAACTGTTTGCTTTTTCTTCTCCACATAGCAGATATAGAGCACCTGCAGTATGCCTTCACCTAAGGTTTAAATTGGACATCAAAGGCACTTGTTGCACAGAATGTAGAAGTAACTGCACTACACCTGGAAACTTCCCCAGTCCACTCGCTGATATGCTACCTCCTGTCTCAACACCATATATGCTGTGCTGAGTTGTGATGATGCGCTGCTTAAACATGGCTACTGACTCAGCTGCCCAGACAGAAGGACTGGGACATTTACCTTGAAGCATTATATGTTAATTCCTTTATTCCTATATGCTCTATTAAGTGCCTCTATAAGTTACCTTGTCCTACATTTTTGACCCCAACTTGGTGGTCTCTTGAGAGAAGGGATGGAATATAAGGGAGGAAGGGGCTGAAAACAGAAGAATGGCAAGGAGAAAAGAGAATAAGTTGGGTTTAGAATTGTTTTTGCTCAAGACATTTTTGCATCTGGGAAGGCTAGGCCTGGAAAAGATCAACGTGGGAATCTTCATACCCTGTGTTTCCTTTGGGTTGTTTTCTGTTGAAAGAAATGGAATTCTGTCAAGGAAGATAACAGAATGTTGTTAAAAAATTTAAAAGTATTCTTTCCCACAGGCTTGGGGGAAAGGGAGATAAGTGAGAAAGTTTAGAACAGTAAAAACAACCCAGTGAGCCACTTGCGCCTGAGTCAGGCCTTTGATATGTAAGGCCGAGCACAGGCCTGCTGCTACACTTTTTCGCCCACTGCATGATTTAGCAATGTATTTAGGGTTTCCAACTATGGAATAAACTTTTCCTTAATACCCTAGCCAGGGTTTGGTCATGTGGGTTTATCTGTGTGCATATAAATTCTTACATGGACTGAGTCACACTGATCACACAATCAGCTCGGATAGGGAATCCCAATCACAAAGAGATGTTGGAGATGATCACGAACTGGCCTGAAGGTGAAAATTTCTAATTATCATCAGAAGAGGAGGAGGAGAAGGTGACACATGCTGAGGAGGCCCTACCACATAATCAGCTACCTGAAAATGAAAAGCAACATGCTCCCTTTAATGACAGTTCCTGTCGTATTGTAGGGATACATCGAAAATGGAAAGCTGCTGTATGGAGTCCTATGCAGCAAGTCACGGAAGCTATTGAGGGACAAGGTGGATCAAGTCAGGTTGCAGAGCTGAAAGTCATCCATCTGGCCTTAGATATCACTGAATGAGATAAATGGCCAGCACTCAACCTCTACCTTGACTTGTGGATGGTAGCAAATGCTCTGTAGGGGTGGTTGAACCCACAGAAAAAGGCCAATTGGCAGTGCAGAGGGAAACCCACCTGAGCTGCTGAATTGTGGCAAGACGTTGCTGCCCAGGTAGAGAAGTTAACTGTGAAAGTACATCATGTAGATGTACATGTATCTAAGAGTCGGGCTACTAAAGAGCATAGCAACAATGAACAGGTGGATCAGGCCACCAAGATTACAGTGTCTCAGGTGGATCTGGACTGGCAACAGAAAGGTGAATTATTTCTCGCTCAATGAGCCCATGATGCCTCAGGTCATCAGGGAATAGATGCGACATACAGATGGGCTCATGATCGAGGGGTGGATTTAACCATGGACACTATCTCCCAGGTTATCCAAGACTGTGAAACATGCACTGTGATCAAACAGGTCAAGCAGGTAAAGCCTCCGTGGTATGGTGGACGATGGTTGAAATATAAATATGGGGAGGCCTGTCAGATTGATTACATCACACTCCCACAAACCCACCAAGGCAAGCGCTATGTGCTTACAAAGGTGGAAACAACCACTGGATGGCTGGAGACATGCCCCGTGCCTCACGACACTGCCCAGAACACCATCTTGGGCCTTGAAAAGCAAGTCCTGTGGCGACATGGTCCCCCAGAAAGAATTGAGTCAGACAACAGGACTCATTTCAAACATAGCCTCATAGACACCTGGGGCCAGAGAGCACAGGATTGAGTGGGTATATCATATTCCCTGTCACACACCAGCCTCTGGGAAAGTTGAACTGTACAATGGACTGTTAAAAACCACATTGAAAGCAATGGGCAGTGCGACCTTCAAACATTGGGATCTACATTTAGTGAAGGCCACCTGGTTAGTTAACACTAGATGCTCTACCAATCAAGCTGACTGTGCCTAATCAAAATCTCCACGTACCCCAGAAGGACATAAAGTCCCCATGGTGCCTATGAGAAATGTGCTAGGGAAAACAGTCTGAATTAGTCTTGCCTCAAGCAAAGGCAAACCCATTCATGGGATTGTTTTTGCTCAAGGACCTGGGTGCACTTGGTGGATAATGCAAAAGGACGGGGAAACACGATGTGTACCTCAAGGGGATTTGATTTTTTTGGGTGAGAACAGTCTGTAATGTTGAATTGTATACTATTGTTTGCTGAATGACACTGCTGCTGTATGCCATACCAACCATAGACAATGTGTATGGACTGCTCCAGATACACCAGTTGTGAGCTCCTGATGGAGCTTGCAACCAGCCGACAGCACACCAGCCATCCTGCCCTGGAAGACATCTAGGAAAGGCAGAACTCACAGTCATGGTCTAAATGAACTCAACAGACATCTTGGAGGGATGGCCATTAACTATGGAAATTATATCTGTGCTTGTGTGTGTATATATATATATGTTTATAGTTGGAAGGTGTAGGATCTGGGCACGATTTACATGGTATATAATAAAGGATGGAAAATATTCTGGTACTGGCCAGGACAGGGTTAATATTTTACAGTAGGCAGGAGGGGGCACAGTTAGGACATGGAGGTTATTCTATACCACCTCACATCATTGCCAGGGGTGGGGAGAAGGGACTCTCTTCTGGGGAGAAGGGATTCCGGTCTGGTCAAGTAAACATGGAGGAGGCAGCCATCTGGTATTGTCTATATCAGGGTTTTTTTCTGTGTGAATGGTTTCTTTTTTTGTACCCTCTGTCATTAGTATCGTTACTGTTACTGTTTGTTTCTTCTCTCATTGCTATTTCCAGTAAATTGTTCTTATCTCAACCTCTGATCTTTGCCTTTTGTGCCTTGTCAGAGACTGAAACGGTTAATGATTTATGCACTCTAGGATTGCCAGGAGACTTTTGAAGACTTTTGCAGGACTTTTGCATTATACCTCTGATGGGCAGCTGGGCCCATCTCCCACCCCAGTGCTGCTGAAGGTGTCAAGCCCTGAAAAGGTGAGAAGAGCCGTGTTTACCATGCCCTCCACATGAACTCTGCACTGGGCTGTCTGAGATGTTGGGGGTTCATAGCATGGCCCATCAAAGCCCATCTTCCCCTCGCCAATCTTGAAAGGTGGGAAAAACCCTTTTACCATGCCCCTCACAGGAACTCTGCTCAGGCCCAGGAGATGTTGGAGGCTCGTGGCATGGCCCGTGACACTATCCATGGATATAATAACTCTTCACTTTGAGTGCGTGGGCTTCCCTCCTTCACCCTGTCCTAGTTAGAACAGTTGGGACCAGTTCATCACTGTGTGGGTGTAACCCAAACTGTGTATTCTACACCCTCCATGTCATTTCCCAGAAACTGTTAACAATAGACCATTTGCAGCAGCTGCCCAGAGCACACCTGACCCCTCAGGCTATAAGCTGGGTGTTAAGAAGCCTGTGAGATAGGAGGGTGTTCCTGTCCTCACACTCACGACTCACAATCACCCATTGTGGAACTCTCCACCCTGGGGGAGGTACTGGGCATTCCTGCCTGAACCTGAGTGTATATAATCTTGGGGGCTTGGGACTTCTGATACCACTTGTGGGATCCAGAGGAGGACCAGACCCTTGACCAGACTGCAGTCACCACTCTCGACTGGACTGTGATTACCACCCTCGACCAGACTGCGACCAGCACTCTCACCAACAGGTTTTCCCTCTCCTTTACTTTGGACTCAGGGGGACCACGTGGGGCTCAGCACGGGGGGCCAATGAACACCACTCTGTTTGTGCCCCAGGGTGCTGGGTTATACATCTGGGTTTTGTGGGTTAAAACCAATTGTTTGTCCATATAATTGTATTTATTGTATTATTTTTATTAAATTGTAACTCTGACTTATAATCTCTTTTGAGTTGGGTTAATTTCTCCTGCTGGTTTACCTTTAAACCAGCACACACCCCCAACAGATTAAGGTCACCACTTCAACTGACAGACATGGAAGCTGCAACTACCAAGTTTCATCGCTGGACCCCATAGGTGGTGACTATATACATCTTTCCACTCTCATCTTTTCTTTCCCTTACTCTCCCTTACCCTTATCCTGTCTTTCCTTTCTCTCCCTTATGCATTTTCCCTAAAGGTTATCTTTATGCCATATTGCTATAGATGAGAGATATAGATGATAACACCCAAAATGGCAACATACCTGTTTACCTTTGAAACAAAATTGTTCTAAAATAAACCCTACATATATAAGTTTTCAAAAACTGATTATTTAGTGTTGTTTCACTCTAATCCACCCCAAGGGATTTATTAATAAGAACTTGGGTTACCCCATCCTTTTCTGGAGCGGGTCATAACAGCCTCCAATTCCCTCCAGCGTGGAGAGGGAGGGGAAAGTGGGGAGTGAGAGAGAGCAGCATGTGGTTTGGAGTGTCTCGGTGGGGGCACTGAATTGGGGAGTACCACTGCTAAACCACAACACTGATGCGCAAGAAGTTCTACCTGAATATCACCTGGTGGATGAGGGGAAGGCTGTGGATGTGGTCTATCTGGACTTCAGCAAAGTCTTTGACACCGTCTCCCACAGCATACTCCTGAAAAAGCTGGCAGCCCACAGCTTGGACAGGGGCACTCTCTGCTGGGTTAAGAACTGGCTGGAGGGTCGAGCCCAAAGAGTGGTGGTGAATGGTGATGAATCCAGTTGGCGGCTGGTCACTAGTGGTGTCCTCCAGGGATCAGTGTTGGGCCCAGTCCTGTTTAATATCTTTATTGATGATCTGGATGAGGGGATTGAGTGTACCATTAGTAAATTTGCAGACGACACCAAGTTGGGGGGGAGTGTTGACCTGCTGGAAGGCAGGAGGGCGATCACAAGGCAATCGAGTTAAAACCTCTGTCAACAGGAGGAAAATTGTCAGCAAAACCTCAGCTCTGCACATGAATTAGTAAGTAAGGTCTGCTGGGAAAATGTTTTTACAGGTGCTGAGGTCTATCAGTGCTAGTCACTTTTCAAATATCACCTCCTAAGGGCACAGGAGCAGGCAATTCCCAAAAGTCAGAAGTCAAGCAGGAAAGGCACAAGGACGGCTTGGCTGAACAGGGATCACCTCTTGGAAATACAGTAAACAAAGAAGGTGTATGCCCAGTGGAAGCAAGGTCAAGTGATGTGGGAAGAATTCAGAGATGCTGCTTGGCGCTGTAGGGAGAAAATTTGTGTGGTCAAAGCTCAACTGGAGTTGAAGCTGGCCAGAAATGGGGGGGGGACAATAAAAAGAGTTTTTTAAAATACATTAATGGCAATAGGCAGTATAGAAATATCACTGGCCCATTACAGGGTGAGGACAGGCACCTCACAAACAGGGACAGAGACAAGGCAGAGATGTTTAACGCCTTCTTTGCCTCTATCTTCAACATGGATGATGGACCACAGGGATCTCAGTGCCCTGAGCTGGAGGACCATGACTGCAAGAATGAAAAACTCCCAGTTGACCCTGAAATTATACGGGATCTGCTGCTCCTGCTGGACCCCTACAAATCTATGGGGTTGGATGGGATTCATCCCAGAATCCTCAAAGAGCTGTCTGATGATTTTTGAGTGGTCTTGGGAATCCGGAGATGTCCCAGCTGACTGGAAGCTGGCAAATGTTGTCCCGATTTTCAAGAAGGGCAAGAAGGAGGACCCTAGAAACTACAGGTCTGTCAGTCTCACTTCAGTGCCTGGCAAAATTATGGAGAAGATTATTCTGGGAGGTATTGGAAAACGCCTGAAAGACAATGCAGTCATTGGTCACAGCCAGCATGGCTTCACGAGGGTGAAGTCCTGCTTATCAAACCTGATTTCCTTTTATGACAAGGTAACCCACCTAGCTGATCAAGGGAAGCCAGTTGATGTACTCTTCTTGGATTTCAGTAAAGCTTTCTATACTGTCTCTCACAGGATCCTTCTGGACAAAATGTCCAGCACACAGATGGATAAACACATCATGCAGTGGGTGAGCAATTGGCTCACAGGTCGAGCACAAAGGGTTATAGTGAATGGATTAACATGAGACTGGAAACCTGTCACTAGTGGGGTTCCACAGGGCTCCATCTTAGGCCCTGTGCTCTTCAACATCTTCATAAATGACTTGGATGCAGGACTGGAGGGGATACTAAGCAAGTTTGTAATGACACAAAGCTTGGAGGAGCCACTGACTACTTCTAGAACATTGTGTTCAATTTTGTCATCATTGGTCTCCATTTCCCCAATTCAAGAAAAAAAGTGTAGAAACTGGAGAGAGGCCAGCTACTAAGATGGCCTGGGATCTAAAGCAAATGACCTATAAGGAGTGGCTGAAGTCTTGTTTAGTCTGGTAAAGTGGAAGCTCCATAGACACCTACAGGTAACCTGTACTGGGTTTGCATGTCAAGGTTTTGGTAGCAGGAGCAGGGTCTACAGGGGTGGTTTCTGTAAGAAGCTTCTAGAAGCTTCCCCCATGTCCAACAGAGCCAATGCCAACCGTCTCCAAGATAGACCCACTGCTGCCCAAGGCCAAGCCCATCAGCAATGGCATTAATGACTCTGGGATAACATATTTAAGAAGGAAAAAAGTTATTGCACAGATGTAATTGCGGCCAGAGAAGAGCAGAGTGAGAATATGTGATAGAAACAACTTTGCAGACACTGAGGTCAGTGAAGGAGGGGGGGAGGAGGTGCTCCAGGTATTGTAACAGACATTCCATGCTGTCCATGGAGGTCCACGGTGGAGCAAATATCCACCTACAGCCTGTAGAGGACCCCACACTGGAACAGGTGGATGTACCCTGAGGGAAACTGTGATCCCGTGGAGAGCCCATGCTGGAGCAGGCTCCAGGCAGGACCTGTGGCCCTGTGGGGGACCCATGCTGGACCAGCCTGTTCCTGAAGGACTGCATTCTGTGAAAGAGACCCATCCCGGAGCAGGGAAAAAGTGTGAGGAGTCCTTCTCCTAAGGAGGAAGGAGCAGCAGAAACAACATGTGATGAACTGACCGTGACCCCCATTCCCCATCCCCCTGCGCCACTGGGGGGGGAGAAGGTAGAGGAAATCGGGTGTAAAGTTAAGCTTGAAAAGAAGGGAGGGGTGGGGAGAAGGTGTTTTTAAAATTTGCTTTTATTTCTCATCCTACTCTGATTTTGTTTGTAATAAATTAATTATATTTCAATTTTTTTTTTTTAATTTATATTTTTCTCTCCCTTCTCCAGCGGAGGAGCAGAGTGACAGAGTGGCTTTGCTGGGATCCTAGCATCTAGCCAGGGTCAACCCACCACACTATTTGAAGGGCACTTACAAGGAGAACAAAGCCAAACACTTCTTCTCAGCAAATTATATAACTAGGGGCAAAAGTTACAAGCTGCAGTTTGGGAGGTTCAAGTAGAAACTTAAGGTTGTCTTTTCTTCCCAGCACATTTGTTTTTAAAAAAATGGAAAAAACCAAAGTTTTCTTTCTGAAAAGCCACAAGAACCACTTATGGGGTCACCTTCTGAAGAAATGAGTAACCAGCATTCATAGCAATATTCCCATGACATACTAGCACTGCTTTTAAGGATGCTGTCAATTTCAGGAACAGTTGGTAGTTACACCAACCCCTCTCCAGCCTTCTATCAACTTTCCTATGAGTCTCTTTTCTAACATTATAATACCTGTATCAATCATGCCATATATCAGTATTTCTACTGAACAGTAAAAACCAAAACCACAGGAAAAAACACAACCTATCAGTATCTTGGCTATTCAAGGTTCTCATAAAACCACTAACCACTAAACTAACAACCACAATCACTACAATGACTGTTAGTCATTACTGAGATTTTAAAAAGCAATAGATTATTTTTTCTTTATGTAAATAAACAAAGCTGTCTATACTTTGCCCAATTTAAGCCACAGTAAGGAAGACCAAAATGTCTAAGTAGGAAAGAGTAATGGTTGGTTTTTTCCCCATACTACAAATTTATTTTTACAAGAATGCAACACTGAAACGAAAATCTAGGTCTGAAAAAAAATCAGCATGCAGAAGACACAAGGGATAAAAGACTAAGAAGGAGGAACACTGGAATAAAGAACAGCAGTGAGCAAGGCTGACAATAATATCGAGGGAAGGAACTCAGATTACAATATAAAATATTGAGGCCAATAAGAATGGCCTTTCAGGTTAAATGGAAAGCACCAAACTGACAAAAACTCCTAACAAACAACAAACAGTAAAAAAAACCCCAAATCACAAACCACAACATGGACTATTCCAAGAAATTTGCTTGGATACAGCTCAGAAGAAACTCTTATCATAGGGTTCAATATTGATGACATCAGGAAACACAAAGGGATACACAAAGACAACAGAAGAATATTTTAATGTTTAATAGTACGCTTATAGAATGACCAATCTCACAAGACCAATCTTGTTCTTTTGACTTCTTCCTAGTTCACCTGATTTTAACATATTTTCAAAAAGAAAGAACACTTTATAAAAAATTATTGTGTGTGGTAGTTTACTTTGGCTGAATGCCAGGTGTCCGCCAAGCCTGCGCAGATTCCATCCCCCCCAAGGGGATACGGAGGAAAGAAAAAAAACATGAAACAATCCCAGGCTTACCAAGAACGAAAGTTTATATTTACATGGAGAAAAAGAAAGGAAGAAGCTAATAACGTTACAGACACATAGGCAAAGGAAACCAACAGTAAAAAAAAATTCTACCTCCCTCAATGAACGGCATTTCAGACAGGCCCAGTTGTCTATTCAGCCATTCCCGGAAGGAAGAAGAAGGCCGAATTAACTTTCCCTCCCCTTATATAGCCAGGGTGACTTAACATGGCATGGAATATCCTGTTCCTCCCAGGAAAAGGAAGTTCTATTTGACTACACAAACCTATTACATTGTGCAACAGCTGAAATAGAAAGTTAAGTTTCAGTCTGCTGTCATGCTCTGAAACTGCTTTAAACCATTTCAGTTTCACCACAGTTAAAACCTGCTTCTGATGACAAAGTTTTAAAATTTAATATATAAAGCTTGGGCAACAAAAAGCTTTATTATGTCATTTATATATATAGTACTAAATACCCTTCTGCAGAATGGTGCAATGAAAGAATGAGAGAAGAAAAGTAGACAGCAATTAGAAAGCCTAGCATTCAAAACCCATAAGGTACAGGCTATTTTCAAAGACTGAGGTTGTTCTCATATATTTTGAATGTCTGCAAATGCTACCCCCTGCTCCCAACCCCTGGTAATGTGGTTAGCATAACTAATGTCATTTTATGAGGCAAGCAGCCATTCTCTGTGACTGATCAGGTCACGTATTTGTTCCATTTCCCTCATTATAAGGCCCTGAAGGTTCTGTGAACCAAGTGGACAAACCAAACAGATTTCTTCTTCCCCTTCCTACTGGCCTCAAGATTCCTGGGTGCCAGGCTGATTACTGCCTTCCTTACCGGCCTTGAAGGTCCCACTCACCCGACCAGACAGGTGTTGTTGATGGCCCCATCACAGAACAGGGAAGTGTAACAGCGCACAGAGCACTGTCTATAAAATCAAGCAGTTACAAAACTTAAGTGGGAAACTTGGAGTAGAACTGCTCCCAGACAGCGAGACACGTGATCCTCCAGTGGCCAGGGACACCTCCCACCATCATCTGCTTCCTCTGAGGACTGAATGAATGACTCATATTCTTTTATATGATTTTTGAGTCTAAATTATGATTGTTTTATTGATACAGCAAAGCATGTATTAAGATTTGACCCAATCTGCAGAGGGTCCAGGTGATTAGAAATAATAACAAGTTGTATTTTAAATGCTGTATTATGCTGCTTATAGATTGTACTATATTGATTCTGCTTGTAGAAATCCCATGTCATTCTAATCATAAATTCTGTGCTATACTAATCATAATATCCTGTTAAGAAAATAAAGCTTTAATTGTAACTATGACTTAGTGCCATCGTCATTCTGCCAAAGATCCCTAAAAGAACCTTTCTCTCCCCTTAATGTTGGGTGGCAATGCCAATTTGAAAGCCACAACAAATACATTACCGAGATCATTTGACCTATGAGACAACGGAAACAAGGCACGTAGTAGCAGAAGTTGGAAGCAATGTCAGTACTCGATGCAGGACTACGTTCTTACATTTTACACATGTTGTCTTCTAAGGTAACAAACTGTAGAAATAACTCACCACTACTGCACTGACCCTACCTTTGATTTAGAAAATAATCTCTTTACCAGTAAGACTTTGACTGCTGTTCTTCAAAAACCTGTAGGAAGGAAATAACCATCTTTAACAAAAGACCAAGACTTGTCCTTTCCCCCAAAAAACCAAACCAAAACAAAAAAAAACACCAAAAAAACCCCAACCAAAAATCCAAACAAACTTCTGTGAACAAACCACACAGCTTAATGATTCATATTCTTCTGATACCTTCCTATTAATTCTATCCACATTTAAAACTGTTGCAATATGAAACTAGAAAATAGCTCCCTGGAATTAGGTAGCAGTTCTTTTCTTTTGACTCAGAGAAAGCACTCTGCCACTGACAAACAATATAAAATACAAAGCTGAGTGATCGTATCCTGGAAGGTCAACAGAAGTCAGCCCAGAAAATTACACACAACATAAAAACAATGTTACATTAGCACAGAACAGCACCTGTTCACAGATGTAAACAGCCTATATATATGGGTGAAGAACGGCCAGGAGAGCATCTCTTGGTGCACTACAACTTAAGGGCACCTTCCTCCAAGCTGTGCCTTGATCTAAGACGAAACTATTTTTCCTTCCCTTCCCCGCTCCCTGGCCTACTGCCTGCCTGCACCGTGTAGCACCTGTCCGAAACCAGCACTGACTGGCTTTACGTTGTGTTGCTGCCCGCACGCCATGCCAAGGGACACAGGAGGTCTGCTACCCTCACGCCACACTGGGATGACAACTTGCAACCATCCACTCCCAAGCCCAAACCACTGCCACTCCCTTGGTCCTAAAAGGGCCTGCGATGGTGGGAAATCCCCGGATAGCAGAGAACCAGCGAGCGCAGCTCACTGTGGCAGCCATCGGTGCTGCATGTGGAACAGGCCTGTCATGTGCAGCCCTGCCTATTACAAAGTTCACGCCACAAGCCAGGACTAACAGCCATGGCTGCAGCACCCCGCCTCCTTGGTGCGTCGCTGCTGACATCATCACCCAACCATGGGCGAGAGGCACCGGCACAGCTGGGTGGACACTCAGAATCACAGAATCAACTGGGTTGGAAAAGACCTCCGAGATCATCGAGTCCAACCTATGACCTAACACCACCTTGTCAACTAGATCATGGCACTAAGTGCCACATCCAGTCTCATCTTAAAAACCTCCAGGGACGGTGAATCCACCACCTCCCTGGGCAGCCCATTCCAATGTCTGATTACTCTCTCTGTAAAAAATTTCTTCCTAATATCTAACCTAAACCTCCCCTGGCAGAGCTTAAGACTGTGCCTTCTTGTCCTACTGCTGGTTGACTGGGAGAAGAGACCGACGCCCACCTGGCTACAACCTCCTTTCAGATAGTTGTAGAGAGTGATAAGGTCTCCTCTGAGCCTCCTGCTCTCCAGGCTGAACAGTCCCAGCTCCCTCAGCCTCTCCTCATAGGACTTGTGCTTGAGTCCCTTCACCAACCTTCTTTGGACACACTCCAGCACCTCGACATCCTTCCTAAATTGAGGGGCCCAGAACTAGACACAGTATTTGAGGTGCGGCCTAACTAGTGCCAAGTAAAGGGGAAGAATCACTTCCCTGGTCCTGCTGGCCACACTATTCCTGATACAGGCCAGGATGCCACTGGCCTTTTTGGCCACCTGGGCACACTGCTGGCTCATGTTCAGCCTGCTGTCAATCAGTACCCCCAGGTCCCTTTCTGCCTGGCCGCTGTCCAGCCACTCTGTCCCCAACCTGTAGTGCTGCACAGGGTTGTTGTGGCCAAAGTGCAGGACCCGGCACTTGGCCTTGTTGAACCTCATACCGTTGGATTTGGCCCATCTATCCAGCCTGTCCAGATCCCTCTGCAGAGCCCTCCTACTCTCCAGCAGATCGACACTTCCCCCCCAACTTGGTGTCATCTGCAAATTTGCTAATGGTAGACTCGATCCCCTCATCCAGATCATCGATAAAGATATTAAACAGGACTGGACCTCACACTGATCCCTGGGGGATGCCACTAGTGACCGGCTGCCAACTGGATGCAGCACCGTTCACCACCACTCTCTGGGCTGAGCCATCCAGCCAGTTCTTGATCCAGCAGAGTGCACCTGTCCAAGCCATGGGCTGCCAGCTTTTTCAGGAGAATGCTATGGGAGATGCTATCAAAGGCTTTGCTGAAGTCCAGATAGACCACATCCACAGCCTTCCCCTCATCCACCAGGCAGGTCATCTGATCATAAAAGGAGATCAGGTTGGTCAGACAGGACCTGCCCGTCCTAAACCCATGCTGGCTGGGTCTGATCCCTTGTCCATTGTTGCAGGATTCAAATTGTGTGAACAATTTCTATTGCATTTCTGTAGACCTTGCTTGACATGACTTTAGAAGTTGTAAGCTGTAATGTTTATACTTATAGACTGTGTGAAAATATGTAATGTTTATACTTGTTAGCTGTGTGTCTAATTATAAGGTTTGAGAACATAGTATGTTTATAGCAAGAAAGCCTTGAGAAAGTACAGATAAAGGTACACCTGCAGATTTCAGAAAGCCCCTAATTATGAAGGCCTCTACATGCCAAGTATGATTCCAGGTCGCGTGGACAGAACATCAGGTCCAATGAACTGGAGACATGAGACGCATGTACAGACTGAGCTATCCAATCACCTTGTTGTAAGCATGTGCCCAAAACAAACTAAACTGTATAAAAGTTGACTTAATTAAATAATAAATTGAACATATGGCCGACCATAATGGTCTGTGAGCTTTATGTTTATGCCCCTCCATCGATAGTCCATCCTGTAGGTGCCATGAGATCGCACTCATGATGATCTCTTCCATATCCTTGCCAGGCACTGAGGTCGGGCTGACAGGCCTGTAGTTTCCCAGGTCCTCCTTCTGGCCCTTCTTATGGATGGGTGTCACACTGGTCAACTTCCAGTCGTCTGGGACCTCCCTGGTTAGCCAGGACTGATTATAAATGATGGAGACTGGCTTGTCGAGTTCCTCTGCCAGCTCCCTTATCACCCTAGGATGGATCCCATCTGGTCCCATAGACTTGTGAGCATCTAAGTAGCTCAGCAGGTCACTAACTGCTTCCTCCTGGATTATAGGGGGGGCTATTTGGCTCCCCGTCTATGTCTACTAGCTCAGGAGGCCAGTTGTCCTGAGGACAACCTGTCTTATTATTGAAAACTGAGGCAAAGAAGGCATTAAGTACCTCAGTCTTTTCCTCATCTTTTGTAACTATATTATCCCCCGCATCCAATAAAGAATGGAGGTTTTCCTTGCTTCTCCTTTTGCTATTAATGTATTTATAAAAACACTTTTTAATATCCTTTACAGAAGTGGCCAGATTAAGTTCAAATTGTGCTTTCACCTTCCTAATTTTCTTTCTGCATGATCTACTGACTTTCTTAAACACTTCCTGAGTTGCCTGTCCCTTTTTCCAAAGATGATAAACCCTCTTTTTTTCCCTGAGTTCCTGCAAAAGCTCCCTGCCCAGCCAGGCCGGTCATCTGCCAACTCATCTTCCAGCACATAGGGACAGCCTGCTCTTGCATGTTCAGGATTTCTTTCTTGAAGTATGTCCATCCTTTCTGGACCCCTTTGTTTTTAAGGGTTGTTTCCCAAGGTACTCTCCCAATCAGCATCCTGAATAGGCCAAAGTCTGCCCTCCTGAAGTCCAGGGTAGAGGTTTTGTTGATACCCCTCCTTGCTTCACTGAGTATTGAAAACTCTATCCTTTCATGGTCACTGTGCCCCAGACGGCCTCCGACCACCACATGTCCCACCAGGCCTTCTCTGTTTGTAACCAGCAGGTCTAGTGGGGCGCCACCCTGGTAGGTTCGCTTACCAGCTGAGACAAGAAACTATCCTCCATACACTTCTGTCAGGGACTGAAATGGTTAATGGCTTAAACAGACATTGAAGCTGCAACTACCAAGTTTCATCACTGGATCCAGTGGGTGGTGACTATATGTGTATCTTTCTACTTTTACCCTTTCTTTCTCTTTCTTTTCCTTATACATTTTCTTTAGTGTTATTTTTTATGATTTAATATTGCTGTATTACTATAGATGATAACAACCAAAATAGCTACATACCTGCTTTCCTTTGAAACCAAATTGTTCTAAAATAAACCCTACATATATATATTTACAAACACCGATCATTCAGTGTCATTTCACTCTAATACACCCCAAGGGATTTATTAACAAGAACCTGGGTTACCCTCACCTTCTGGAGCGGGTCGTAACACACTCCAAGAACTGAAACAGGAGGGTAAGCCCAAAAGAGTTAACTAAGAAACTTGGGCCTACTAACAAGTTACTTACATCCAAAACGATCTGTTCTGTTCTGCTAACTGGACCAAAGCTTAACAGAGTGTTAGAGGTACATGTAATAGGCCTAGAGGCAATAAATTAGGACGCAGTAAGCTAAAGTAGACATTTGAATAGGAGAAATAGGCCGGGAGCCAGGGCTTTCTCCAAGCTTGAGCGAGCGGGTCAAGAACAATGGAAAGGAAGAAAGGTCAGACTGAGGAAGATGAGAATAAGCCCCCTCCCCATGGGATGAAGATAGGATCTACCCCTAGAATTGGGGATAGAGAGAAGCGTCGCCCCAAGCTCCGCCTGAGCTCCACCTATACTCCGTCTGTTATCAATATGCATGAATAGATGCTGTAATCACTTGAATATGCATTTAATCACACCTGAAAATTGTATAAAACTGCTGATTTTGTGTGAAGCCTTTGAGCAAGTTTTTCCAGCAATAGCTGGCTTGCTCCCAGCGCTGCTAATAAATACCTTTGCTGCTCAAAAGATCAAAGTTCTCTGAGCAGTTCTTTATACTCGATTTTTCGGATTCAGAACCTCCTAGACTGCCTCTTCTCTGCTGTGTTGAGTTCCCAGCAGACATCTGGCAGGTTAAAGTCTCCCACAAGAACAAGAGCTGGTGATCTTGAAACATCCACCAGCTGCTTATAGAATAATTCATCCACTTCTTCATCCTTGTTGGGTGGTCTATAACAGATGCCCACCAGGATGTCAGCCTTGTTGGCCTTCCCCCTGATTTTCACCTATAGGCACTCAACCTTATCATCACTAACCTCAAGTTCTACAGAGTCAAGAGACTCTCTAACATATAGAGCCACCCCTCCACCTCTCCTACCTTGCCTGTCTCTTCTAAAGAGCATGTAGCCATCCATTGCAGCACTCCAGTCATGTGAGACATGCTACCATGTTTCTGTGATGGCAACTACATCATAGCTTTCCTGCTGCACAATGGCTTCCAGCTCCTCTTGTTTGTTATCCATATTGCATGCATTAGTGTACATGCACTTCAGCTGGGCTACTGATTTTACCCCTAACTCTGGCTTACCACCCTTAGGCTCATCTCTGGAGAGTCTGGTTTCATTCCCTTACCCCTTCAAACCTAGTTTAAAGCCCTCCTGATCAGCCCTGTCAACTCATAGGCTACTCCTATGAGTTGCTAGATAGATGAAGCCCACTTGACTCTAGCAGGCCTGGTACCATAAAAATTGTCCCATGATCAAAAAAACCAAAATTTCACTGATGGCACCAGTCCTTAAGCCACTTACTGATATCACAGGTTTTCCTGTTCCTTTCATCGTTCATCCCTGCTACTGAAGGAATTGAGCAGAACACCACCTGTGCTCCTGTCCCATCAACCAGTCGACCCAGAGCCTTGGAGTCCTTTTTAATTACCCTGGTACCCCTCTTATCAACCTCATCACTGCCAACCTGGGCAACCAACAGTGGGTAATAATCAGAGGGTTGAATTAGTTCAGGGAGTCTCCTGGTGATATCCCTTACCGTGGCCCCAGGGAGACAGCAAACTTCCCTGTGGGATGGGTCCAGTCGGCATACAGGGCCCTCAGTTCCTCTCAGAAGGGAGTCACCTACTACAACTACCTTTCTTTTCTTCTTAATACCTGAGGTTGTGATCCATCTGATGGAGTGCAACTGGGAGACCCTCCAGACAGATTTTTTTCTTCAGTGTCATCTGCCTGACCCTCTAGATCCAGAGCCTCATACCTATTCTGTAAGGGCACCTGGGAAGGCAATGGGGGTCGGGAGGGGATTCTTTTACCTCCCGGAGCAGGGACCCATTTCCATTTCCCCCCATCTACTAGGTCTCCTTCTGCCTGATGGCAAGAGGGGCAGGGCATCTCTGACTCCTACTGAGCTTTTCTCAGGGTTGGAAGGATGTAACTCCACCAGTCTATGTCACTGTTGAGATGGCCGAAGCGACACAGAAACAGTCTTCTTCCAAAAATAGGACAGGAGAGGGATAGATCCTTTATTGTAACAAATCACTGACATTTATAGCCCTTGGCATAACATACATGTTACACTACAATTGATGTCTTCAAATAAATATGCATCAGGATTGGCTGCCCTGCAGCACACTCATGATGATTCAGCATTTGCAGACTCACAGTGACTTGCTTAGCTCTGTCTTCCTTCCAACAGACCTGTTGTCAACCCTGACAATTCATCCTTTTTTTGTATTTATGCCACAAAGATGGCCTTGACAGTCTGCTGCAGGGCCCTTTGCAACAGGCTGATCAAGCAAGGCATCAGTATCAACAACTCCTGATCTAAAGCTAAGAAGAAATGCAGCATCTCACAATAAAGATGGATAA